TCTTTATTTTCTTCATTAAAAGTCGTTTTTATTTCCTTTATATGCTCTTTATAGTATCAATCTGCCGGTAATATTGTGTATGTTAGAACGAGGCAATAAGATCTGGAGTGGTATATAGCCTACGTATCCAGGGAAATAGTGGCAGGGCTACATGATATGATATTACTATAGTGGACAGGTATTCTGCAATACTTCTATCTTATCCTGATTCTCTTCAATTGGGATGATATATTATAGTTTTAACTCGCAATAACAGTTCTTGAGGATTTTCGGAACCAGAAAAACAAGTTTGTAGATCAGTGCTATGGCATCGCGAAGTAAATCGTTCATCTTTCTACACGTGGTCGAAGAAGAACAACGTGGAGTGATGGATATATGGTGCGCCAGTGGGTTACGAAGGGATTCATCGATAAAGCGCGGAGGCCTGGACGCGGATCAATGATGCGTCCGACTATCAATGAGGAGTCCGACTGTCTACGGAAAAAAATTAGCGGCGCCGGAAGCAATGTGAAGCGGCGGGGGCAGCCATTTCAAAAGGGCACTTCATTTTTCTGGGCAGCAATATTTGCTAAAACTTTACTGTATGGATATTCGATTACTTGTAGCTATTATGGGTCGGCAAACTTCGACATTAATTTTGAACAATTTTATTCGTTGCACCGCCTAAAGGCGCAAAATAAAATCAGTAAACGCAGTGGCGTAACTCCTATGAGCTCTACCCGGTAAGAGCCGGGGGCACCCAGGCAATCGGTTATCGGGCTATAGAACGAAAGGCAAACATGTCTATCGAAATTCCGAGACATTTAGATCTGGAAGAGCCGGTAAGGTATTATCTGAATTATCAAGATATGCAGGTATCTATATGTAGTTTATGGCTTTAAAATATATACTACAGTAAAGTTTTTGCAAATTATAACAATACAGATTGATCATCTTGTGATATTTAGCATGCAAAAATAGTGCAAATGGCCGTGAATGGCAAGCATGTTTAGGTCTCCAGCTTGACTCCGGTCTTGTCCATAATATGAGCCCAGTGGCTAACTTAGGAACTCACGATACGGAAAATTGAAGCATTTTCGAGACCCATCGACAGAGCCGTAGCTAGACACGATAATTACGGAGGGTGTATATTCATATATTCATGTTTACATACCGTAAAAACAATCGATTTCAAAAGCAATCCGTCGGGTAGAACACGAATATATGAATATACACCCCCTCAATAATTGTTCTAGCTACGGCCCTGCCCATCGAATTCCAACAAACAGGTAAACAAATTTTCCACTAGGCGCAATTTTTCTTTCTCTTTTCTAATTAATTCACCCCCAGCAATCGCAAAACAGAACAAATTCCGCTTAGTGGAAAACCAGCTAAAGAGAAGAATGGAAAAGTTGCAAAATTCATGCACTCGTTTTAATGTGGTGAAAGAACAAGAAAATACAATGTGGGGGTGTTAAAGTTAATATCTGATCATATAAGTTAGTTTTTCAAATGAATTCATGTTAAATACGAGTGTTTGTCGTTTAGTGTTTGTATACAGTGTTAAAGTTGGTATTTTTTGCCAACCTTTGGGAAATAATATAAATGATGATGATGATCAGATCAAAAAAAGTCCCTTGGATTACTAGTGAAATCAAAAAGCTTATAAATAAGAGGGATAGATCTAAGAGAAAAGCCATTATTAAAAACCTTGAAGCAGATTGGTTAGTGTATAAACAAACCAGAAATAAAGTAAATATAGAAATGAAAAAAGCCAAAAAGGATTATTACTCCAAGAGAATTGCTGGTCAAAAACAAATCCAAAGAAGGCTTGGAAAACAATAAACAACTTACTAGGCAGACAAAACAAACAAACAAAAGTAAATGAGTTGAGTATAAGTGGAAATAATTTAACAAATTCAGAAGACATTGCAGAGGGCTTTAACGAATTCTTTTTAGCCTGATAACGGACCTACGTTTCGCCCGCCCTAAAATTCGCGGGTCGACAAAGGGCGAAACATAGGTCTGATGAAAATGTTGTCAAAAGTGAATATAAGTCGACCGCCTGGCGGTCGACGAAGCTGATTGGTTAATTCGCAGGGAAATGGGTTGTGATTGGTTGGTCGCTAACATGAAAAGATTTGAAAATATCAGAATATTTTCAACGATAAATCAACGCATATAAATATGCATACTGTGTAATATTCTAAATATTTTGTGATGCCGACTGGCAACTATCTACCGTCTAAAATTAAAGGGAGGGAGTAGAGCGGTACGTGTCAAATTCTTCAGCGTTGTATCTTTCTGTTGTAATAAACAATACAATATATAATTTTTTATACACGATCTAAGTTTTGTGATTAATCATAATAAGACTCGGATACAAATATGTGCGCATTCATGATTTACATTTTGACAACATAGCACGTACAAAATATTTTATTTAGATTTTACCATTGTATGGCGATTTCAAAATGTATAAATTGTAAGAGTTGGGATGCAATTCAACAATGGCCATTGCCAAATTTCCGTAGGCAGATTTTATCGCATTTATAGAATATGTTGAAAATGTTGTATTATGACTATAGCTGTAACTGTTTATTTACAAAGGATGATATAAAAGCAACGGGCTCCATGGGGTTACCAATATTTTAAATATTTATTCGAATATCGACCCTTGACTAGTTTACAAACTTGCAATAAAGTGAAATCGACAACTGTCATTGTATTTTTAGGTATTACATGTATGTGTCAATCATCGTTGTTAATTATTGCAAAATGCAAAGTGGGCGGAAGGCGCTTTTGACAACATTTTCATCAGACCTACGTTTCGCCCTTTCCGTCGACGAATTTTAGGGCGGGTGAAACGTAGGTCTGTTATCAGGCTAAATTCTTTTCAAATATTGGGCCTGACTTAGCTAGCAAAATTGATACTTCGAATTACAATTTTCAAGAGTATATTAAGAAACCTAAATCAGAATTCACTGTATTTGAGTCAATTACCACCAACAAAGTTTATTATCTCCTACGTGGCCTCTCTAGTGCAAAAGCCACTGGCATTGACAAAATTTCAAGTAAAATTTTAAAACTAGCAGCACCTGCTATCTCCAGTTCATTAACTTATATTTTTAATCAGGCTATTACACTATGCACGTTTCCCGATGAATGGAAAATGGCAAGAGTATCACCTCTTTATAAAAATGGCCAAAAAAATTTGCCTGGTAACTACCGACCAATTTCTGTTTTGCCAGCTGTTAGCAAAGTTATGGAAAGAATTTTATATGACCAACTATATGATTATTTGACGAAATTTCAGCTACTTAATGATTGTCAATTTGGCTTTCGCAAATCGCACTCAACTGCTACAGCGTTACTAGACTGTACTAATAGTTGGTATATGAATATTGACAATAAATTATTTAACTTGGTTGTACTAATTGACTTAAAAAAAGCATTTGATTCTGTCGACCACCAGATTTTACTAAAAAAAAACCTCGAAATTTATGGCGTAAAAGGAGATGCTTTGGCTCTACTAAAATCGTACTTGATAAATCGCACTCAGAAATGCCAAGTTAATGGAACTATTTCATCGGAGCGGTTGATTAAGTGTGGCGTGCCACAAGGCTCTATTTTAGGGCCATTATTCTTTTTATTATATATTAATGACTTGCCTCAGTGTCTAAGCAAAACAAAACCTCGACTGTTTGTTGATGATACAAACCTAACAGCTGCGGGAGAATCTATAAATGATATTGAAGTTGCAATGAATTCTGATTTAGAAAACCTTAGGAAATGGTTAATTGCCAATAAACTAAGTTTAAATGTGGCCAAAACAGAATTTTTATTAATTGGATCTAAACCAATGATAAAAAGTATCTCAAATAGACAACCAAACATTATCATAGAAAACAAACCAATTAAACAAGTATATGATTGCAAAACTCTTGGAATGACTGTTGACCAGCATTTGTCTTGGGAGAATAATACTGAAACAATTTGCAAGAAAATAACATCCGGGATATCAGCTCTTCGTCAAATAAAAGAATTTGTTGAGAAAGATACACTTGTCTCTGTGTATAATTCTATTGTTCGCCCATACTTTACATATTGCTGTAAAGTATGGGATGTGTTTGGCGAAACACAATCAAAACGCCTCCAAAAGCTCCAAAACAGAGCTGCTCGAATCATAATGAATATGAGCAATGATGTAGATCATCTGGTTGCTTTAGATGTTTTAGACTGGAAGCCACTTAAAACGGAAAGAATAAAGGCTAAGTCCAAACTGATGTTTAAATTGTTGAATAAAATGGGTCCTAAATCACTTACTGATTTATTTACTTTCAAAAGTGAAATGACAAATTATAAACTTCGAGATGTGGAAAGTATTAATGGTTTATTATAAAAATCGTCGCGCTCGATGAAAGCGAATTGCGAAATTATTTACAAACTTTAGTTAAAAGTATTAAAAAGTACCTTGTGTTACTGGCATTATATTACAACAATAGTTTACTGATCTATGAATTAATATCGAAAGAACTTTTAAATTTACAAAATTTACAAAATTTATAAATTATGTGATTGAATACACATAGTAGGAAAAAAGCTTTTCTTAAAGCGCTCCGTCTTACAAGGAAACAGTGTTAATCTATTTCCGTACCTTAAATTACAATTGTGTCCATTGGCCCGAGAAGGTGGTATTAAATGGTTAAGGCGTGAATCAGGCTGTCTGATTTTGTCAAAAGTTTTTATGCACAAACCATCACGTCTTGCGCGTAATGTCGAACATTTAGCTTGGTCCAGAGCAGCGTCATAGCTTAATGTGGGGTAGATTATTCGCATTGTGCGCTTCTGGACCCGTTCAATTTTATCTGACAAGTTAATGGTCAATGATGAATGCCATACCGGACAGCAGTACTCAAGCAGGGATCTAATAAGTGCAAAATGTACTCGTAGTAAATGAAACGGTGAAACTCCATTGCGCTTGAGAACTCGTAAGATGTGTAGTCTTTTTGATGCTTTGGTTACTATCTCACTGATATGCAAATCCCACTTCAGATTATTCTGGATCGTTAAACCTAATATTTTGTGGGATTCTATTCTTTCAAGACTAATGGTTTCAACAACTAAGGTGGGTGGTGGCTGCTCAATATCTCGTCGAAAGGAGACAATCATCTCTTTACACTTTTTTGGGTTCAATTTCATATTATTGGTACTTGTCCAATTACCAATTGCGTCCAATTCGTTTTGTAGTATAGATACCTCCCTTGTTGGAACAATCTCAGATATCGTCACGTCGTCTACGTACTTCCAATTACTGGAACGCGGGGATACTATTTTCAAATCATTAATCATTATGACAAAAAGGATTGGACCCAATTTGGTACCCTGTGGGACCCCAGCACTAGTTGAAAGCCATCGGGACACGCACTGTCCCAGCTTAACACACTGGCGGCGGTTTGAAAGGAAGCTACAAATCCAAGGGATTATTGAACGGCGCACTCCCAAATCGATCAATTTTGTTATAACAATATTGTGGTCTATTCTATCGAAAGCTTTGCTAAAGTCCAGAAAGCAAGCTCTAAGGTAATGACCTGGGTTGTCCATTTTAGAAAGCCAGTTGTGGATAAGATCTAGAAGGCAGAGGGTGGTAGATGTTCCCTTCAGGCTGCCATACTGACGATTATCGATTTGTCCACCTATGTCCTCAACCATCCAACTAACCACAAAGTCTTCGAGTACTTTCGATAACACAGGGGTAAGTGCGATGGGGCGGGTATCGCTCTTACCTCAGCCTTATGCTTACCACAGCCGCGTACAAATAGCTTGAAAAAAAGTTTCATGTTTGACGGGGCACACATTTGGAATTCCTTACCAACCAAAATTAGAGAGAGCAACTCCATCATGTCCTTTGAAACTAAAATCGCTACTCACATTTTTGAATAGCATTATTATTCTTATACTTATATAATTATATATATATATATATATATATATATATATATATATATATATATATATATATATATATATATATATATATATATATATATATATATTTCTTACTGTATGTAATATCTTACTATATACTATATCTTTGTAATTTTATTATTGTACACGCCCCTTGTGGAAATCAGCCTAGGTTGACAATGGTTAGCGTGTTTAAATAAAAGTTTCTATCTATCTATCTATCTATCTATACATTCAACCAAGTATTTCCTATTAATCGAGCGACAGAGGTTAGCAAAATGTTGCGAGGAGCAGCGTAACGGTCGCAATGTAGAAAAAAATGTTCGACTGTCTCATCTGATATTCTACAAGCGGACAGTGGCGAGGGAACACAATTCATGCGATATAAGTTGTAATTTAGACTAAAGTGTGCCTGTGAGCAGAGCCTTAATATCAAGTCTTCAATCATTTTCACGTTTTTCTTCGTAAAACATAACCGAACATTTGCCAACATTGAACATGCCTGCATCATTCTGTCATGATATTTAAACGGTCAATATAAACTTATTACTAATAAGTAAACATTGTCAACACCGTATACTAATAATTGGCTAAAATGTACACGCAAAAATAATTTTCTAACGAAATTATTGTCTTTTATTTGTGAAGAAATTATCGTTTTTTTATATTTTTCATCATGGCTGAAGGTACAGAACAGAACGAGTGCTTTACGTCGACTTACGAGCAATTACCGGCCATCAGAAATCCAAGTTTCTTCTATATTTTGAATCAAGCTGCATCGTTATAACTCGGTCAAGGAAACTGGCACGAGTCATACGTCAAAATCAGTTGTCAAGAATAGTGTGCTGCCTACGGCAGCAAATACAAATGACATATGCGAAATGCAGCATTTTATCACCCTGTAAGATATTGCTTACGAGTCTCTCAAAACATTCCGTACAAATCTCGCGTGACAAAGTGACAGGGCCGTGATAGGAGGGGGGGAATTTTTTCACGAAGATAGAAGAAGGCTGCGTGAAAAAGACAATGACATTCTGTGACAATGATCTACAATGAAATACAATCATACAAACGTTTGTTTTATTTCTTGTAGCGACAAAATAAATACATATTACTATTTCTTAATATGAACAAGTCATACAAATTAAATGTTTATTGTTGGTTTTACCATACTGCGTTGGGCTTTGCTTTCATTTTTCAAGTGTCCACCCCCCTATTACCAAACCACGTGAGATTTGTACGAAATTAATGTTTTGAAGGACTCATGCATTAATGTTTTGAAGGACTTAGCATGCTAGGCATTTCACACTTACCAAGGACCACCCTAAACCACCATCTCCGAACCATATAAGCACATCAGAATAGCCAAAGCTTTTATGGTTTGGTAGATAGCACTATGGCGAAAGGGTCGTTTTGGGGTGTGGTCAGTTTCGGACGTTTCGTCCCAGATTGGGGTTCGGGAAGCGTTACCATGTTGACCGTCATGGTCAACTTGCCCTAAAACAGTTGAGATTATCTGTCCTAAATGAAATGCATACAAACTCATATACAGGTCCTAGACTAGTTGTAATAATAGATAGCTTAAGATCTACGACGCCGACGTCAGCTAGGACGTCAGGGCCAAGCAGACGACTGGGACTAGGACGTCGTGCTAAATAAATAAACTTCCACTTAAGATTCACGACGTAGACATTTAAACTATAAATATTTACATCCTTTTGAAAATGAATTTAAAAGAGACGTGCGAACTATTACAGTTTGTTATGCTCTTGTATTCGCGACGGTAAAACTCTTGTTGTGAGGTTGTTGACGTTTGGTGGACGACGAGCAAATTGAGAGAGACAGATACACACTTCAAAAACTATTACCAATTTACTTCCGCTTGCCGCCCTAAATATTTGACGACGTAGATACTCGAGCTATCGACTTATTTAGGACGTCCTAGTCCCAGTCCTCTGCTTAGCCCTGATGTCCTAGCTGACGTCGACGTCGTAGATCTTAAGCTATCTATTAGCGAAACTAACGAATAAATAAATAAATAAATAAATAAATAAATAGTATGGACAATAACAGGCTTGCAGACAAACATGCAGACTTGAAGATCAACAAACAAGTACAACGAATTACAATCAACGATTTACAACTTGTGTGACAGTAAATTTAACAACATGGCCGATTCGACAAGTTAGTCAATGTGCGAGTTGTGTGACCCTTCACACCACAGTTAATAGAATACATGGTTTGGAGACTCGATGAAAGTACAATATAACTCATTAACTATGTTGGTTTCGGTTTATTCAAGAATTTGGGCCTATCTCGTCACGTGTGTATTGTATTTTCCCGCAC